AAAACCTCGTCAGAGAGGCCGGCTAGACCAGTGATGATCACAACCGTAACAAGTACAAGTAAATACAAGATAACCATGGTAAAAAGGCCGTCCTAGCTTTCTTTTAGTCTACGACAGGTATGTCTACTATTAGTTCCATCCTGCTGTTCGGCTTGGAAGTAGTCATCTCTTGTAAAGAAGAGGAAGATGCGATCTCTGGAACGATATTTTTATTCTGAGCTTTCGGCTCCACACGAAAAGCCATCGTCAGAGTAAATGAAAACAGCAAGTGACAGCTACGCATAAATGGGGTTGATAGGGGAGTACCCGTGTTGGTACTGTTTAACTCTGTCACTTGTTTGATGTGCTTCTTTGGACAAGGTTGCCTAGGCTTCCGGACGGCCGTGGAGTTCCACGGCTGTTCACCGTTTTGTTTCAGTGGCGAACAACTCAATTACCTTTGTGTACCTTGGTCTAGACTATCACGTCTCTACTGGCTTCACAGGAGTGGAAAGATTGTTCTGGAGACGGGTAATGTGTTCGAAGTTAATACAAATTTAGTTTGTATTAGACTGTTATGAGGGGGAGGATAGCAGTCTAGTAAAGGACTGACTACGGACGCCAAACCCCCAGAATTTTGTAATCTCGACCGGTAGTAGTAGGGGTTATATGGGTGGGGCAATACGGGGTTGCAGAAGAGAAAATAAAAGAAATATATTTAAAAAACAGGAAGTAGTCGATAAAATTACTATAAAAATCTATAATATGGCAATGAAAAAACGTGCGATTAGTGCAAAATTAAATATATTAATAAAGCAATACTACCAGTCACGTATTACAGAATTCTGGGGCTTTGGTTTCCGTGGTGAGCCCTGTAAGAGACTGTTACCAGAGGAAGAAACAACTCCAGCCACGTTTCTCCCTCTCCTCCGTACTCTGTGGAGAAGTCATCGTGGATGTACGGGCTGACTTAACAGTGTTTCAGTTTTACTTATGCCAAGACGCCTGCTGCATCCCATCCTCACTGTCTGTAGGGTTATTTTTGCGTGGGACTCGCCAGCTCTCGTCTACTCTGACCAGACATCCGTCGAGGTTGTGAAACTCTGACTATTATTCGTTTTACAGTCCCATTAAACCAACTGGGGAGTCTCAGTGAAAACAGACTAAGAGAGAACATTAGACCTCTTGCAGCTGTGGTGCGTTCCGCGGAGTAGTCGTCAGTGTGTCATCTTACTCGCCGGAGTTCCTGGGTTCGTGACTCCAATTTCTAACACTTTGAGGATGCCTATCAACTGTTATCAGAATAAAAACTTGAGAATACTATAATATAATAGTATACATTTTCTTATATGGCTCCCGATAAAACCCGCACACATACACACACTTTCTTCCCATTCCCGTGTGCTTGAGTGTCTCGGCCGTTTGCTACATTTTGTGGTTAAAATTCACCATTTTGAAGGCGATGGTTTTTTTTTAATGACGCAGCCTCTCCCGCATACTTTACTCTCAGTGTGCGCTTCATTTTATTTTTCAATTCTAGGCTTTCGAACTGGTCTCAGAGAGCTGCAGCACCTACAATATCGAAGACTTTGAGCAGCTTATTCCTTACAAAGACTCACCAGCTGATGGTGAGCCTCAAGGAGAACTGAAGTCTGACGTAGTCCAGCCGGCGGAAGGAGAAGACATGGCTGGCCTTATTCGAGAACGTGATGAGCTGCTTGGGCGTTTGCGGGACGTGGATACCGAATTAAATAAATGTCGTGCGGCCTTCACCTCGGCCATTTGGGAGCTTAATGACCTCAGTGCTCCCGTGGGGGACTGATTTGACATACAAATATTTATTTTTTTACCTAATATTTTCTAATTGTTTTATCGAACCCTGATTGAGCAGAAACGGAGAGCCGGAATATTTATGCGTTGAGTTCGATCTGCGCGTGATATTTATCCAAATTGCTTATTGCGAAAGCATTAATTAATTGAAGTCTTGGGACTTGTTGGTCTTAGAGCCTGCATTTGGTTGAGTGTCAAGTCGCTTACTTATTGTCGTGTCCATGTGCCCCTACCAGACTTCAATGTCTCACAGTATTCGATATACCATCACACTCCAATCCTCAACGCCCTCCTCCATGCAGTTGTTTAGTCTTAGGTGTGGTTCATTTTCTTCACACTAGTCGCTGATTTTTACTCGTTGAAAAACAACCTGATGATAGGGCTTCAATTTCCAAAGTTGTATGCCTAGTTTTGGGGGGTTATAGTTCCTATTCGTGCTCCACTATGTTGTATAGGTCGCATTACTCTGAGCTATTCTAGACTGCGAAGGCAAGGTCGATAGAACAGTCTTTTGAACCCGCAATTTGGTCTAGAGTATATCTCTGGGAAATATGCCTGTACTGACAGGGAAGTTGGGTATTACTTGACCCAATCGCGCAAACTAACTGCTTTTGGGGACCTCAGACAGCCCAATTGACGGACGCGTCCGTGATGCTGAAACACTGCCCTCGATCCGAAACCGTTACCCATTTGGAGGCGTCGAAAAGGGGGTCGGCTGAAAACTTGGCTCGACTCAGTCCGTCAGGAAATGGAAGTGGTTCTTGGACCTTCGGTCT